TTCCTGGGTCAGACACACAGATTCACCCTAAAATACCTGGGAAGGGATGGGCATCCAGGAATGTGTTTCTTAAAAGTCAAGAACTCTTGAAGGTAGCTGGTAACAGGCTGAGAACTCTTCGTAGTGAAGTGTTTAGTAGGACAAAGACTGGAACCACAGTTTTCCTCTCATCCTACCTCTTGTCACTCTTCCCTCTGGTTGCTGAATTTGAGAATCGTGCTGAAGGGGTTTTTTTTGTAGCTGATTAATGTTAGAATTTTCAATGGGCCTGGTTTCTCTCTTCTAATATGTGTCAGAGTAGAATGTGCTCAGTGATTCAGGTGTGACTGTCACACTCTCAAGGTTGAGGCATATCTTAGTTGCCTGCTTTTATCGAGGGAATTTTGATGAATATAGCCTTGGACTAATAGATACCTAAGTACAGTAGCTGTCTTCACTAGGTAATTATTTTTTATTCTAATAAATGTATTTCCAGTTTACTTGGTATAGCACAGATTGTGTAAACAGTTGGGTTCCTCAAAATACCAAGGGAAATCCTGTGTTAAGCATTTGTGTCTGCAAAGTCAGCTGCAATGGTAGAGATATTTTTTGCTTGTCCATTTTGGTCTTCTCTGCTTTTAATTCTTCCTGACACCTGTGGATTTTTTGGCCTGTTTTATCAAAAGGACTATAATAAAAACACCCTATGCACAACCTGAAACAAAACTGCCTGATGGGCAGTAGGTAGTCTTCTTTTAAGAGCAGTTTACTACATTAAATAGATGTGAAGTCATCCAGTCTTTCCTACTATGTATGACAGCATGTAATTACAGAGGTTGGTATCTCCACAAGAACCCAAATTGTCCAGGAGCACAAGTCCCACAGAAAGTCAGCAGATCCAATGGCACTTAGTTTGATTACGGCTTTTGGTAGGTAAGCTCTGCTGACAACTGCTGAGGTAGTTTAAGATGATATAGCTCCAGTTGCCCATCCCAAATCTGCTGGAGACTAGTGCTTCCTCACATGAGTTTTGGCAGACCAACACAGTTGGTTATACCTCAGTTATTTCAGTTCAGCATGGACGTTTTATGTATCAGTTTTCCTGAGTAGCAAGGGAAAAAGTCTTAAAAATTTATGTGCCCTGCTTTGGCCTAAACTGACAATCCCCATCTCCACAATTATTAACGTTACTAGAAGTTGTAGGTCAGCAGTTTAAAAAAGATTATAGCTTTAACATGGATCAAAGACCAGGTGTCATTGTTAAAAGTGTTGGCTTTAAGGACTTGCCACAGGCAAAGAATGAATGCATGCCATAACTATGGCTAGCAGTCGAGTTTCTGGCTTCTCTGCTGTGGTTCATCTCACTCCATGACCTTACATGAAATGAGCATGCTCAAATAATAGCCACACAGGATTTGCAAAAACACTGTTTACAGACCTTACATAACTGGAGTGGCTTATGACAATATTAAATTACTTTTATTACTATAATTTTGTATATATGAAAATATTTTGGTTGGAAAAGTATTTAGCCATCTATCAGGGGTCCAAATTCTTGCGTTATCAGAAGTTACAGTTTCATTAAATGAACACTTCAAAAATACATAACCGTCAAAAAATATTTCTAAAAATACCAAGAGTATAGTTGTTATATACTTTATAAGTCTTTTGGGTTTTGTTAGTTTTATTTTATATCCATTGCCTAGACTTCATGCGTACTAACGGCCTTTCACCAGTTTACTAGACTGCCTTATTCACATTCTGCAGTAATTCCAGCAAGATAGATTTTTGTTTTACACATAAATTTTTTTGACTGTGCTCTGTGCTTAGAGAAGTTATTGCCCAGGCTGTTTGTCCAGAATATTTCAAAGTAGGTTTTGAGGTTCAGTTCTGTCCTATTCATTTTTAAATTATATTTAGCTGACAGATATTGAATTGTTTGTCTGTCTTTTACTTTCCTGTTTCTTTCATCTGAAAAAGTACAATGGCTTCCTCACAACTGTATCTCAAAATGCTTTGGAAGTCAACCATCAGCGTGCAAATATTCTCAGTCCTACTTAATAGAATTTATAAACCTTTCTTGTTAAGAAACAATACTCTGGTAAAATCTGTAGCATAGCCTAGGCCACCCAAGCTTCTATTTTAAATCAGACATTAAAGGACTTGAAAAGATTCAAAGAAGACTAATATGCATGATCAAAGGTCTGGAAAAGCTTCTGTAAAAGGAATCAGTAGGTAAGCTAGCATTTTTTTAGGCTAGAAGAGCAAGGACTGGTGTGTTATCACTGTTGGGGAGCTATAATATGAAAATGGTAATTTAAGAATAAATTGGTTACATCTCTTCCATTGAGTGAGGTAAGTGGATGACAGATTCAGAGCAGAAATAGTTCACACAACGTGTTATCTCTGTAACTGCTCGCCATATTTGTCACGTTACAGGTAATTTGTTACAGAAACACCGTTTCCTATTTCTGTCCAACCCGTGGCATAGGTTATTTCCACTTTCCATTTGTTTTATTCAAGCCTCCATGATGATCTAGCTGTGTTTGTATTTTGACAGGTGTATCAAAATGCTGTGGTAAGGATAAAATAGGCAACAGTGGTCAGAGAATGACTAACACCAGCCATGGCAATCTGCCTTTGGAAAAGGAGGACAAAATTATGTGACCTTTCCATGCAAGACAAAAAAAAAAAAAAGTGACAGTAGGGTGATGGTTGGCTGCTAGATAAAAAGAACTGATGGCCTGCATGACGTGTATTAACTTATCAGTGTTATCCGTGCCACTGATACATAAAATGAGCTGTGCCACTAACAGATACAGACTCAGCTGACTAGCTCTAGTTCAGGACTTCGCAGCAGCACTGTTGATCTGCCCTAGTATCCTAGCCTGGCCTGAAGATCCAGTATGAGGAGGGGAAGGGAAACCTCTGGGCAAGACCACTAACTTGGTGATTTGGTTTATAGAAGTCATCCAGTTAGTACTCAAAAATATTCAATCTTGGCATCTACATCAAGATTAGGAGGCTTGAAAACCTAGTATTTGTTAGTTATTATTATTTCCTGTCACTAAATCTTGTTAAAATTACAAACCTAGGCACAGCATTTACACAACAATATTCTGTAATTAAACCCATCTGAAATATTGGAACTTCAGCATTTTAAAAAGTGATAGTGAATAACTAACTCCATTCATCAGCTCTATAAAGTCGCTGCAAGCCAGCAGCTTGTGTAGAAATTAACCTGCTAGTTCTAGCAAATCAGTCTGGGTTTGTTGGTTTTTTTTTTGTGTGTGTGTGTGTTTGCTTGTTTTAACAAAATGACCTAGGCAAAGCTAATCAGACTTGCTGTTGTGAATCTGACAGTAGTGCTGACATTGAATCTAATATGGGCAATATGGCAGCAACAATAGCTCCTGCTATTCCATCTGTAATGATCAGATGTCAGTCCTTTTTTAAATTAAAGGTATTTGCTATAACTGAGCAGAATCCATTTAGGCTTTTTGTTGAAGATGTGAATAAGAAAAAACAGTTTCAAAGAATTCTTGTCATTCTTGAGCCTTTGAGATATAAACCAAAAGATGGATAGGCAGATATATTTTTATCTCCTGCTATTCCCTCATCCCCAACAAAAGAAAGAATATCTCTATACATCTTGTATGCATTTCCCAATAAGAGTGCTTTCTTTTACGTAATAGTTATATGAATGAAGGGTGTGAACAATGCTTAATATTAAGTAGGTACTGTTATCTACATTTATTGCATTAGTAAAGGGGCAGCTTAATCCAAGCAAAAGTAATGCTTCATTGTCAAGTACCAGAGCATGTAGTCAGGAAAACTGGCACTGACACCATAATTACAGTGTCCCTCCCACCCCTCCAAAAAAAATGTAGTGCTGGTGGGCATAAGTACTTTTGATAGAATTACTTGCAGGACTAGTTAAAGCACTTGTACAGAAATTCTCCTTGTAGCAGGTATACTTTGGATTTGTTTGGCTGCACATCTCTTCAATATTATGTCTCTTTCTTTGACATATCTAAGCTAATTTTAGACAGTATTTGACTGGCAACTTTCACTTTCCAGGAGGTGATTTATATTACTAATGTAACATTAGAATTTGCTCAAGCTTTTTATAGAATATCCAGACTGTGGACTGTCATAAGTTGTATTGGCTGAATTGTCTCGAGAGCCTAACTTCTTTCTCAGATGCTGGATTACCGTTTCTCTTTTAGCTGGATTTCCTATATTTGCACTAAATATTCTTATCAGTTGATGAGTGAATTGAGCTATTTTCAACCAAATTTGATAAGAGGGGGAGAAGACAGAGGTAAAGAACTCTCAACGTGCTTGGTGCTCATCAAACTACGTGTGAGTTAGCCCAATGTAAGACACCAAAGAAGGTCTAGGGGAGACTGGCTTAATAAAGCCCCAGCCTCAGCAACAATTTCAGGTAGTGTGAACATTTTTTTTCAGGAATCTCTGTCAACTTGAAATGGATAGTAAAATATTTTTCCCGCAAATAAGTTTTGACTCCAAATTAGGCAAAATACTCCATTGCTGAAACATAAAAACTACTGGCGTTACTACAACTAAGATTTGATTCAATGTCCATGATTATCTTTCAGTTTGCCAGTAACTTCAGCAAAGACAGGATCAGAGTAGGAATGTCACTATTAGTTATGGAACACATGGCCACCCTAAACAAGTGTATGAACGTTGCGTGCTCCCACCTGTTCTGTGGAGCCATTGATAATACCTTAACATGTTAAAAACCTCTCACCATTTACAGTACAACTTAGGTTTGCCATACAACTGTAAGGTAATCTGAGGAAATCTGCTTGTGTAATAATGGCCTTTAAAAATCAAAGCTATACTTAATTCTTTGAGTTTTAGTGTTCCTTGAGAGCAGCAGAACATGTGGGAAGTGGGTTATTACAGGTATCTATGTAGGAATGTAAAATAATTCTAATCAGTACAGTATGATAACCTAATTTATGTTAATTTATATGACTTGTTCTCATTTCAGATGAAGTGGCTATCTGTCCTGCCCCAGCAGTGTATTTTGCTGATGACATGTCTCCTAATGGCCTTGGAAGCTGTGCCTATAGACATAGATAAGACAAAAGTCAAAGGAGAAGGTCATGTAGAAGGAGAAAAGGTAGAAAATCCAGTAAGTAATGAAATTTATCTAATTAAGCATTTTTTCCTAATTGCTAGAAATCTGGCTGTAGTCAGCTCCCTGAAATTTAGATGTTTTTTACTGGAGTTACTTGCAGAAAGAAAGCTAGTATTAGCCAGTATTGTCGTACAGTCTACCATATACTATGCTAAGGTTCCATTTAAATTTGTTGGGTTTTTTTCCATGAGCTGCTAAAGGTGCGGTGGCACATGGAAGGGATTCCCCAGCTTACAATAGGAAAAACTGCTTTCTGTTCCACAGAGACTTCTTTCAAGCAATTGAGTGGTGGCTTGGGAAAGTGCACTCAGTGATTCCAGTTCAGTATTTCAAGTAAAACAGTAATGAATGAATTGCACTGTTTAAAAAACCCCACTCCTGTATTAACCTGAGAGATCCTTGTGTATTACATGGATTCCTAAACACTTTTCTCAATTTCCCCTCAGTTGCTGAAACAAATGAATCATAAGAGTAAGTTGTTATAGGGCAATGATGCAAATCAGAATAAGATGAAGGTAAGGGAGTATAATGCCTGTGTTGCTGAGATTTGTGTTTCAGTTTAATCATTGTGTTTAAACAAAATGAAATTTTTGGTGGTATGTTCTTTCTCAATTTCACTTTTTTTTTTTTTTAAGGATACAGGACTTTATTATGATGAATATCTCAGGCAAGTAATAGATGTCTTGGAAACAGATAAGCATTTCAGGGAGAAACTCCAGACTGCTGACATAGAGGAAATAAAGGTAGGTACAAAAAAAAAAAAGAGTTAAATTAGGTTAATTAATTCCCTAATCAAGAGCCATGTATGCTGTATTCTTTCTTCCTTTTTTCATACTTCTCTCCATTTTTGTGATCTTAAATTTCCTCTCATTTCTATTTACTTAGTTAACTCTTACTAGATCTTTGTCTTTAGTCAAGGGGCAGCAGAACTTCTATCCATTAAAGCATAAATAAATCCCCAACAGTGTATACTTGAATGCATAGTTTCTATCTCCTGCCTGTCTACTAAAAAGCCAGTTTCAGGCTTCATACAGGTAGGTGAACCTTCATGTTCATCAAAACAGCTGCAAGCGTGTCTCTCGCTTGCTGTTGCCTGCCAAATAATTTGGAACACTGTTTTGAACATAGAATTATATCTGCCTTCTGAGATTAAGATAGTGTGTCACAAATGAATATGATGACATGGAAGAGAATTACAAGATAGTCAGAGTTTAGAGTCTGGGGAAACTGAAAAGTTGTGCTAGAGGTAAAGTCAGTGTATATAGGAATAAAATAGACCTCTGGCTTTCTTTGCTGCTGTCCTTTATTTTGTGCCAGTCCACATAGCACTCTCTCCAAAACCTCACCACATTCTTGTCTTTTCTACTTTAGTTCCTGGCTCTAGGTGGTGGCTGTTCTGAATTCCCCTTTATGAGCTAGAAATTCAGCAAGGGACAGGTAGGAAACAGTCTAAAGTGATAGACTTAAAAAGGAGATCCTGCCTTTTGCATTTCCTTTAGTCTGCCATGTTGCCTTTGGCAGCTTTTGGCTCCTTTTTCTTCTGTGCTGCATCCAGTATAACCCTTGAAGGTCACTATCTGATAAATATTCCTGCAGTGCACATTGATGCTGTTGCTGTGCTTGTACCGTCTCTCAAGTCTTACAGCTGTCGTCAAGTGGATGAAGAACACAGCACTTTGGGTGCATTTCAGAGTTCTTTAAAACTAATTTGAGAACATTTGATCAAGAAATTTGTCACTTCAACATTATTAGGTGTTGCTGCTTTAAGGTCATGCTTTTGCTCTTTGGAGGAGCAAGATACTTAGAAATTCTCTTTACAGAAAGATTTTAGGATTCCTCTCTGTTTCTATAACCATGGGTTTAAAAACATGTTAATCTGCTCTTTGAAAAAATTTTGAGCTTCTTACAATGTGGGCTACAGTATTGCCAGAGACTGCCACTAGTCTGCTGTCTTGCAGCCCATGTCTAATGGGAATCCTAAAGGCTACTTTTTTCTAATTTTTATACATAACTTGGTTTTTGACAGAGTGGGAAGCTAAGCAGAGAGCTTGATTTAGTAAGCCACCATGTGAGAACACGGCTGGATGAACTAAAAAGACAAGAGGTGGCAAGATTAAGAATGTTAATTAAAGCTAAAATGGATTCTGTTCAAGGTAAGAATACAAAATTTAACTCGGTGCGTTAACAGATGGGATTGTGTTGGAGAGGTGCCCAAAGGCCATCACTTAAGCTTTGTTTGTTGTCAACAATAATGATTGTAAACTGAAAGTGAGTGTCCCTTCTGAGCTGCTTAGAGCCAGTAAAGACCCATCTTCATAGGAAATGGGAGAAGAGAAAAGCCATCTGTGTTTTATAAATAACTAAACTTGATTCTGGCAGTGGATTTTCAGATACTTCTAATCCTTTTTCAACCTCTTTTTTTTATTTTTGTAGTGCATCAATTTATAGGTTACTCAATGAGAACTACTAACATAGTAGGACTATATTTAAAAATACAACATGATAGCATTTCATGTCTTTACAGGGTAGAAAATGAATTATTTTTTTTAATGTCAGTTAACACAAAAGTTTTCCTTTTTGTTTTTTTAAGCCCCTTTTCCACCAATAAGAGTTATTGTGCAGATTTTAACAAACATTAAATATTTTAATTTAGAAGATTATTTTCTTTATTTTGGGAGCAGTTTTAAGCTCCTGAATAAAGAAAAACATTTGGAGTGAAAAAAAATCTCTGTAGCGTTTTCTTAATTGCTAATGAAATTGTACAAACTCAGGCAATTTCTTTCCAGTTGTATACAAATTAAATGAATCAAAGTATACAGGTTGCTAATTATTCTGATTGCTGTAAGCTTGTGTGGGATATGATGGTGTCCCTTTTTATTTCTTATTACTGAAGAATATTTAAAGTTTGCATTTAGGACTATTTCTGTACATTTCTTATTAGTGGTTTCATTTTGAAGAGAATTATTTGCTCATAAACAAAGATCCTAATGATGGACTGCACAATCTTGTCTCTGAAATGTTGTTTTTCACAAAGAAGCTCTAATAAAAAAGGCTTAACTTGCCCATGAAGATTATTTTATTAATAAACCTTTGCAAGTTATGGTGAGGGATCCCACTGAACTGAATATGTAATGTATCAGTTTAAAATACTCCAAGAACAAGGATCTGTCTTCTAGGTTAAGCGGAATTTAGAGGTGGCAAGCGGATGGCAGGAATATGCATGTGCAAGTTTGTGGGGACGTTACTAGGGTCAGGAAAGCATCAGATTAATTTGGGATAAAAGATATTTAGTGTAGTACCTTTCCAGTGAAGTCTTTAGGTGATACCATAGTATAATTAATGAATAATGATATAGAGTTGGCTGAGGGAATCCAATCAATTTTCTGTCCTTTTAATGAAAGTTCTAGTCCAGAGAGTCCAGTCCACTGGTCGCTAGGCAGTGCAGACCAGCGGTAGCTTCTCCACAGGAGTCAGTGCCTTGCCTCACATACCTGCCAGACCCTGAGTTCATCTTCCTCAGGTGCCTCTTCAGCTGCCAAGAGCCCAGTCTTATGCTTTTATTGCAGGCAAACAGTCCAGTGACATCATGGTGACACTCACAGTGAGCTAGTTGGCAGCAGCTGACAATACCTGGTTGGGTACATAGTAATTTTGTGCATTCTGAATTTTTTTAATACTTTAATGGACTGATTACTTCTAGTCCTTTCTACTTCTATAAATCAAGAGCAACTAACAGAATGTGCTTTAGCAAAATAATTCCCCCCAACAGATCAGATCTGTTACAGTAGAAGAACATTCTTACATTTGGAAAAGAACAAGAACAGATTATTCCAGTTCAAAATGTTCAGATGACTACTAAGATGTGAAAACATCAGGAGTGGGAAAAGATTTGATAAAGTTTATAATCAGCTCTGCCAGTGAGTACTTCACATCACATAGAAGAAGTATGGCCAGATTATCTATAAAATACAGCTGGATCTGTACACCTGTGCAACATCTTGGAACATGTACAAAAGATCATTCTATAGTAACAGCAGGCAGAGCTGTTTGATTTCTTTTTACTTTTTCTATTAGTCTTTTCCCTACAATACCACTTAATATCTTAGGAAAAAAAAAAAGCAGACAAACTCCCCTGTTTTCTTCCCTATCAGATGCATCAAGGTTTTTTTTTTAAAAAAAGCAAACAGATATTATATATTATGCATATATTTACTCCTGATCCAGATGTGGTTTTAAACATTTTCACCGAGATCCTACTAGACCGATCAGTACAGGACAGAATAATGTTAGTGCTTGGCTCTCAGATAATACAGTAACGTGACAAGTAAATATTGTCAAATAGAATGAGTCTTCTTCCATAAAGATAAAAAATTGATGAAAATGGGTTTGGGGGCTTTTTTTGTTTGTTTTGTTGGTTTGGTTTTGATTTTTAAGCTTATTATTACACTTCTAAAAATGTTCCAAAAACAGGCTAAGGAGCATATATTTCAACAAAAATTGTGATCTCACCAGGGAGGAATGATGATTGAAATCTGCCCCAGCCAGCGTTTGCTGTTTTGTGATAATATGGATAGTTTTGTGATAATATGGCTTGTTTGCCAAAGAATAATATGTTCAAAATTGTGTTTTCTGATTTTTTTAAAAGAAATAAAATATTCTTTGCTAAGCCATCTAGTAAAAGCTTGTCAAAATTATTATACATAACATACCAATGTATACACTGTTTGAGGTAGCATTATTATCTAGCATTAGCAGTCAGAAGCCATGGTAACAGCTAGGAAAGCCTGTTGTAGAAATAGGTTTTGTTGTTAGTGCATTGTGCATTGATATTGCTGGGTATTGTTCCTGTCATAAGGAAGACAGAAATGTTTGCAGCTTTTAGACACAGGACCTGACTCTCCATTGTCCTACACTTCTTATTTTGCACAAATGAAATTTGAATATCTGCTTATCTGATTTTACACTATATTGTTGTAGTGGGTCTGGCTGAACTGGAATTGGCTTTCCCCTATAGCAGCCCTCATGGTGCTGTGTTTTATGCTGGGAGCTGGCAGGGTGTTGATAGCACCCTGGTGTTGTGGCTACTGCTGAGCAGTGCTTACACAGCACCAAGGCTCTTTCTGATATTTCCCCCACTGGGACGGGGTAGGCGAGATCTTGGGAGGGGACACAGCCAGGACAGCTGACCCGAACTGACCAAAGGGATATTCCATACCATATGATATCTGCTCAGTATAAAGCTGGGAGAAAGGAGGAAGGGGCTGGGGTCACCCTTGGTCCTCCAAGGCAACCACTACGCGTATTGGAGCCCTGCTTCCTGAGAAGGCCCGACAGAGCCTGTCCATGGGAAGTAGAGACTAAATCTGTTTGCTTTTGCTTCCGCGCGTGGACTTCTGCTTCGCTTTGCTTATATTAAAACTTCTTTTGTTTCACCCACAAGAGTTAGTTTATCTTCTTTCCCCTCTTTACCCTATTGAGAAAACAAGGGGAAAGGGGTGGGGAAGTGATAGAGCGACTTGGTGGATACCTGGCATTTAGCCAGAGTCAAACCATCACAATTGTACATACGTCTTTGGCCAGATGGAAGTCATTTCAAAATGTACAGGGCAATAGAGTCAGACTTCTCCCAGTTCAGCAGAAAGGTGCAAGTTGTTAGCTTTGATACTACACATAACTTCAACTATCTCATTTATATAAAAGAGAATAAAATGTTTTGCTTAGTTTGTGAAGCTCAAATGGATTGTACTTTTCCTTGCTGAAACACAAGCCCTAATTTGTGCATGTTAAATTACTGTGTGCAGTGCAACGCTGACACATCAGAAGGAATATAGTGCATATTGCTATTGAGTTTGCTGATCTCCTTCAGGAAAAGCAACTTTAGAAATGTTGCTATAGTTTCCTCCAACAGTGAAAAAATTATCCAGTCCTCAGGGAGCCTCAGGTACTTAGAAAGCACAAACTCCCATGTGAAAGTTTTTAACTTCCTGATCTCACTTGATTTCAAACTTATTTTAATGTTTTACATTTGTACCTTGTTCTTTCAGACACTGGCATAGACCATCAGGCTCTTCTTAAACAGTTTGAGCACCTGAACCATCAGAATCCTGACACGTTCGAACCTAAAGACTTAGATATGTTGATCAAAGCAGTGAGTGCTAGATATAAACTACTATGGGGGGTTTGGTATTAATTATACTTTTTTCCTCTGATAAAGGCAAATCCTTTTATATATACCACCTTCTCATAAATTCCATGGAGTTTTATTTTTCAGAAGAAAGTCAGTTGTCTCCATTGCACACTTGAAAAGTGTTGTGAAGTATGTATTATGCTAAAGAGCCCACAAATTTTGGGGTGACATCTTAACAGGACTTTTATTCATGTGCCAGTACAAACAACTTTGGGAGTAAACCACGCTTTTCTGAGAGCCTTTAAACAGTTTTGATAGGGGTACAATTTTCCAAAGTGTATTTTCTGATTTCTATTTCTGATTTAGGTGTCTCAGAATAACATAAATAATCGTCCCTAAACTAACCATTTGAATTTTGGGATCTGTTATATACATGTCAAGCTGCAAAACCACAGCAGAGTAGAATTTAAGAGATCAATATAGAAATTGCATGTGCTGGACATGGCATTCTATCTATTTAGCAGATTCAGTATCAATCACAAGTGTTAGGGTTTTTATTCAGTGCATGTTTATTGAGGGGATGAAGTTAAGCCAAGCATGGCTTGGCTTTTTTTAATGCCTGGAAAAAATACACTTCCCAAGGAAAAAAAGTTTCTACTCTCAGATATGCTTTAGAGGGCACTGCATGTCTGACATGGGAATTTGACAGTTTTTATATTTTCAGAATAAACTGAAAGATAAGGCATATTTCAAGTTTTCTGTAATTCTTGTGGATTTTTTTTTCCCTTCGAAAATTTTATCTCAATTTTCTGTAAAATTATTTTATTTAATATTATAAATTAGATATTATAAAGCTTCTTGCCATCTCTGAGTATCACTTCTGAGAAAATTCTGATTGGCTAGAAGTAGTATATCCTCAATGGGGCAGTTTGGGTTTTTTTGTTTGTTTTTAGTCATCTAATTTATCAGCTGAGATATTAACAGAGTGTAATGGGCATTTTAGGGGTTCTTTGTTTTGGAATTGTTTTTGAAATAAGGTATAAATGTTGCTTTGAAAAGCACTACCAAAACTTCCTTTAACACCTTGAGCTGTCTGAAGGTGATACATCTCTAAACTCCATACAAGTACTTGTCAGAAATTCTCCCCCTACATCCTTCCTCTCCATATAATTGGGGTTTTTGATTTAATCTGTATTAAGCTACTGCAAACTAACTCCCATTATTAATGAAGGCACTTTTTTCATTAAACTGTAGGATAAGACACAGATGTTCTTATTCTGAAATAATCAAGGAGTTAATGGTACTAGTTGAAGCTACACTGAATTAGTACAGGACTTACTTGAGTTAATTTAGTATTAATTGGTGAGAAGGGACACCTTGATGCCTTCTTACAGTACTGTGCAGTTGCAAAAATTGTCTAGCAGTTGAACCCTTGCAAATTCATTTCTGTGAAAACAATGAATTGAGGAGAGATGTTTCTGCATCGCTATCCCATGGAAGGAACCCCCCAACTAGTCTACCTCATGTTTAAAAGGAGAATGGCAATATGGCCAGCCTTGCCCACAGATCTCAACAATACAGTGGTTTTAATGTCATATGTGTTAACATAGTTATGTGGCATAATTATATGTCTACATATATTTTTAGGCTACAAGCGACCTGGAAAACTATGATAAGACCCGCCATGAGGAGTTTAAGAAATATGAGATGATGAAAGAACACGAGAGGAGAGAGTATTTAAAAACACTGGATGAAGAAAAGAGACAGCGAGAAGAATCCAAATTTGAGGAGATGAAGAAAAAACATGGAGATCACCCTAAAGTTCACCATCCTGTAAGGCCACAGGCTGTTTTTACATGATTGGATGGAAGATTTCCAGAGTGAAAAAGCTAATAAAGAGAAGGGTATATCTTGTTTGTTCTCAGCGTTTGCCTCTTCGCAGAGTGTGGGAACAATGCTGAGAGCATTACAAAATCCACTATATATACCCCATTTTTTCTGTACAAGTATGCTGTTTGCATGCTGTTTGCTGTTATTTACAAAGAAGGTAAAACTCATGAGGAACAAGCCAGAATGGTTCAAAACTGTAGAGATGCCTTCATGGTGTGCCTGGCCTCCAGGGAACTGCATCACAGTACCATTTGCTCTAGAACATGAAAACTTAAACTTAACTTCCTTCAGCTATTATTTCTAGATGAGTCTGTGTGGCCATAACTGATTATTACAAGTATTCCTTTCCACAGAATATGCATTTCCTTGACACACCCTCTCTCCCTGGGCATTTCTGTCTAATGAAAGTATTAGACCTCACCAAAAGGGTATTAAAGAAAATTCCATTTGCAACATGACTATTCAGAAAATAAAGCCTTTCAGAGAAACTGTAATGCAAAGGTAATGAAGAAAAATTACATTTAATCATCTTTTGAATAGTTTTTCTTTGTAACCGATCTATAGGGAAGCAAAGATCAACTGAAAGAGGTATGGGAAGAAGCAGATGGACTAGATCCTAATGAATTTGACCCCAAAACATTTTTCAAATTACACGGTAAGAGGTTTAGTTTAATTTAATGAACAAGTGAAGTGACTTTCTATTACCTTCTGCTGAGGGCAAGTTTGTCTTATGCTAGGGTGAGGTCTTATACCTCCAGCAATTTGGATGAATCTGAAGAGTATAGAGGAGAAAATATTATGTAATTTGTAATGTTTACTGCAAAGTTTTAAATAGGATTTAAAAGTTGACAACAGAGTTTTGTTTAACTACTCATAAAATCATACAGCCAATAACCAGTAGTGGTTCCTCAGAGAGGATTGGGTACTTAGAGGGCCATGTCTATAACTTTGCATACACACTATGTACTAGGAATAAATCCTCAGAGGTGTGTGTGTGAAAACCTGCTTTCTCATCATTTCTGCAGATAAGTGCCAGACACCCCTTATCTTTGGAATGGTCACAGAAGTGCCAAAGCCTCCTCAGAAGTTACAAGATTCCCTTAGTAAAACAAAACCCAAAATGCCCTCAGTCCTGCCTCTGTATTTCTGAGCAGTGTGCCACTAGAAACAATAAAGTAGTAGTCAACGTGAGGATGCATTTCAATGGGCATTTTGCTTTAAATGCGATTATATAAATGTTTAACCTTATAGGCTGACATTCTTAAATGCTTCATAATAAAGTAACCTTAAGCAAATCCTGCCTGGTACTGGGCTGTGAAGGGTTGAACAGTAGATAGAACTTGACTAATCACAAAGATCATAATTTAACTGAAGAAGAGTATTCCAGGCTTGAGTCTGAACTTTTATCTTGGTTTATAGAATATATAAATATGTATTGGAGTTACTAAACCTTATTTCTTCTTTCTAGAAAGACATCTTGAAAGATAATTTTCTGAAAATTTTTGGTAGCTTTTTCGTGCAACTCTTAACCAAACAGAAATAGCTGAAATAACCTCTAAAAGCTTAGTACATAAAAAACTTTGAAGCGATTAAACAAAAATATAGTATAATAACACTCATTTGTTCTCTTTCCATTTCAGAGGTAATATAACAATATTTGGAGTTGAATGTAGGATGAAATATGGGTCGTTAGTCATCAAGTGTTCTCTTTGTGTTTGTCATGAAAAGTCATTTTACAGTGATCTCTTCTCAAGTGCTGTGTATTTATATGGATTTTCACATAATTCTTTAGGGTTTTTGGAGAGTCATACTGTTTGTTAACAAAGTTTTTCTACAGATTTTTGTTGCTTCTGAATATATTTACTATTTTAGTTGTTAAATTGGGACAACTTGTTCTCAGCAATATTTTTTGGCAATTACACTTTGTGCAGTCCTGTTGTGACCTATTTCAGTTCGCTAATCTAAGAAGTAGGGAGGTTGTTCCAGACTTGTCCAACCAACCAAAAATGGCAATACAGTTCAGCCAATGCCTAATAAAACCTAAACACAAAAAATGACCTGTGTAACCAGCATCTTGTTGAATGAGGCTTTAATCCACATGAGATGTGTATGTTGATAGTTAATTCATGGAGAGCTGTTACATGTATTGCTTTCTGTACATACTCAACTTGTATTTTCAACACTTTTTTTTGTAGATGTCAATAATGATGGTTTCCTGGATGAGCAAGAATTAGAAGCCCTATTTACTAAAGAGGTAAAAAAAAAAAAGTTCAGAAGCTTAACTTGTTTCAGAAAATGATTACAGGGATGTCTGTATTTTTTCCAGGTATATTGGGGGGGGGAGGGATTTGGACTACAAATTAGAGTATTCATGACAAGTTATGTGCATTCTTAATGTTTCTACAAAAGTGTGAAAACATATCAGCAGGGAAAATAAAGTGGTAGAAGCATAGGACTCAAGACACCAGAGAGCTAGTGCTACTAGCTACTTCTCAGCCACAGGCTTGTTTGAGATTTAGTAATTAATCTGCAGGATAGCTATACGTGTATAAATTGCAAGTGCAGAGAGCTGCACTCCTGCTCTGGCTTGATGCAGCCTGGTAGAGGTTCTGAATCTGGGTAGCTGTGCTCAGTCAGTGCTAATCAACAGGTCATAAGACTTGTTAAGATAAAAAGGGTCACACTCGTATGAATTGGCTCAAAGACAGCACACTGTGGAAGTGGCTACAGAAATTTCACTTATTTTTATCTAGCTAGATTGGAGCACATGTACATCAGATAAAACAGACAGGCTCTTAGTTTCTTTAAGCCTTGGTTTGTCGTCTGTGAAAACACAAATATTGGTACTTCTTTGCCTCCCAGAGGCAAACAATAGCAATGTACTGAAATTCTACAGTGATGAGAATTGCAGAATCAGTGAGTAAACAAAAGGCCTTGGTCTTCATTTTTCCAGCAGGTTCTGGTTTGGTATAGCAGAAAAAAGCCCTAAACTTCCCATTCAAATATCAGCACTATGGCTGTCAATACCTTTTTCTAGATTTCATGAGTCAGGGAGGAAATGTGCTATACAGTGTATATAGAAGCTTATAAATTCAAACTACTGTAAATTTTTAAAGAGATTAAATCTGCAAATACAGATTGTTAACAATACTTTGCCATAATCCCCTGTAATACAACGGAGACATATGGCAGTCTTTTTTGACAGATATGTCCCACCATATTGTAGTTTAAAAAAAAATAGTCTGGGGCCTTAAAATTACCTGTAGCTAAGCAGTCGAAGCTAAATGACTAAGAAAGCTAAGTAGAAGCAAATAAGCATGAACTCACCAGAAAGACATTGTGCAAGAAGAGAAGCGGACCATTAAATTAAGCATTCAATTTGCCTTGTGATGTCCTGATTGCTTACAGGGTCAGCTGCATGCTCTGGTAAAAAAGCTACTCTCTCCTGTTCCAGAAACCACATGGAAACTGCCTGTTGTGAATCAAATGTAGGATCAGACTGTGCATGCCAAAGTCAATTTTGCTGTCATGTCCACAGAACTGAATTACAACAGACCACATGAATTAACTGAAGACTGCATTCTTAGCAATGAAAGGCTCACTTGATGCTTCAATACTATGTTAAAGAGAATTGCGCACACACTCTCTGTTGAAAAAATGGTGAACTCATGTTTTTAGCAACATCTCATGCTACTATTCCAGATATGCTCTGTCATTTGAATGAGCAGCCCTTTCTCCAGACTAATATTTGCTAATTTTGAATTTCAGCTAGAAAAAGTTTATGATCCCAAAAATGAAGAGGATGACATGGTTGAAATGGAAGAAGAAAGGCTAAGAATGAGAGAACATGTAATGAATGAGGTGGGGATTGATGTTCAGTTGAGCTGCTGATTTCCTTCTGTGTTCAAGAAATATAGTCCTCCTAACGTGAAGGGTTGTCCAAGTACAGCAGAAAGGGATGGATGACCTGTCACACGGAATGCTGTTTGTGCTGGGATTCACATAAAGTTATAATTCTCAAGCCCAGTCCCCATATTCTGATGTAAATGCTTGCTGACTAGTTTTTTATTTAAGACGTTTCAAAGAAGGAATTGTGCTGTAGCATCTGTCTTTTGCAGACACTGATATTCAATAGAAATTCCCTGTAATTCCGTGTCAGACAGGGAAGACTCTAAATGTGCTTTTGCACTTGACAAATGGGTAAGATTTAGGTGTAAGAAGAGGGAGTAGAGCAACTTCTTTCTTGTAGCTCACCTTTGTCCCTTCAAAATAGGCCTCAGAGCTTAAGGGATCACCTACAATAGTGAATACTTTTACCAGTTCTGAGGTTTTCAGCTCGGGAGACAGAGGAAAGGGAAGAGGATGTTTTGAACCACTGTGTTTTTCACACATCTTTTGTGCATTCAACTACATTCCTTAAATTTGAGGAACAGAGCAAGCCTGGTCTTCTATTAGTCACGAAGGGAAGCATTTCCTCCTTTCCCCTTAAAGGATTCTGACACAATTCAGTTGGGGTTTTTTTGATGTTTCAAGACCTTCCCATCCAACTATGGAGATTACTCTGACTCACAGTTACAAAATTATTACCAGAAAGCTACAAAACATGTGGGGATTTTCTTTTTATTTCCATTTTTATTAAGCTATATAAGTTTTCAGGTGGTGTTACAGGCACTCCCTTGAAAATGGGGCAGTTTAAAAATAAAATTATTCTATTTGAAGATACTTGCATAATGAAATTAAACATTAGCTCCTCCAAGACCATTCTTTAAGTTGAGTTTAATGTTTTGCTTCAAATAGGTCGACATCAACAAGGACCGGCTAGTGACTTTGGAAGAGTTCCTGCGAGCTACAGAGAAAAAAGAATTTTTGGAGCCAGATAGCTGGGAGGTAATGAGAGTGTGTTCTAGGCACAACACACAGTACTGTTACCATCACTCTAACCAGAAAACTAAATGGCATTCTGTGACCGTTGCTTTTTTTCAGTTCTGCTTTGGTATGTGTGTGGTTAAGCACCTTAGCTAAATGTAAGGTGCAAAGCAGCAGACAGTATAACGCAGATGTGAGCTCCATGGCCCGCACACAAACAGAAAAGGCCTTGCGCCACCCTGTGGACTCTAGGAGGGCTTTCCCCACATGCTTTTCAAAACGAAAATGGACATTTTGTTTATGGATCACTTTAAAGGGAAGATAAGAGCTCAGCTGGAAGCAAGAGGAATTTTTTCTCTTGCCTATAAATCTGTAGTAGAATTTTGCTGAGAAAATAGCTGAGAAACAGCTGTTTTGCTGTTTCTTACAGTGTCATGTCTGGGTGTTTTGATGAAAATTCTGACAGTTGTTTAGTGAACTGTACAATTCAGCTAATAATAATTTCAGTGGGAAGGGAATAAAAATATATGTGTATTCCTGGCTAACTGTTCACATTTATACGTATTTTCTTGCAGACACTAGATCAACAGCAGCTCTTCACTGAGGACGAGCTGAAGGAATTTGAAAGTCATATTTCTCAGCAGGAAGATGAACTCAGAAAGAAGGCAGAAGATCTTCAGAAGCAGAAGGAGGAACTACAGAGGCAGCACGACCAGCTTCAGGCTCAGAAACAAGAGCTTCAGCAGGTACACTTATAAGAGCAGAATTTTTTTTTTCCTTTTCTGTATCCTTATATCTGTAACGAACAGCCCATGACAGTCCCCAACTCTGGAGCATTCGTTACCTTGATTTGTCATATTAGTCTCAGCTGAATTCTAAACTAATGGTACCACAGCTAAACATAATTCAGGATTATAGCAAACAATGCAAGCATCTCAACTCATACCTATGTACAAAGATTTTACATAATGGTAGCAAAAATTTTTTTAAGTGTATTCATTTATATCACATCAGAGAAAGTTGACAGATTGAAGTTTTTCAACTGTTATATTTTATTTTTCATCAGGTCGTAAAACAGATGGAACAAAAGAAACTTCAGCAAGGAAATCCTCCTGCAGGACCAGCTGGAGAACTGAAATTCCAACCCCGTATGTGTCTTTCTTGTATCTACACAGATACAAACTTTAAAATAAGATCTCCAGTGTAAAAGTAATTAAAACTGTATTTTCTGTTGGAAAGGTTTATATAATGTGGTTTTAATGATCCCTATAGAGAGGTTCACTAAACTGTCTTTAAGAGGGAAGTATGGAACTCTTCTAAAGTATTCCTGAAGTCTCAGTGCTTTTAAGTCCATAGTAAAAAGAGGCTCTACTTAAGCACCAAATGGGCAGAGAAGGGGGACTGTGTTGTAACTATCAGTCTAAAAATACTGAGATCTGGGATATCTGGAATGTATGATCATCCAGAGAAGAATAGGGACATAGAAATGACCAAGTCTGTCTGATGTTCTATGGCTGCATTACCGGTTTCAGACTGCAGAACAAATCAAGCATTTAAATTCTTCCAACATGTCTATCCTCAGTGGCAAATTTATCAGCAGTTGGGCACAACATGACATGACAAGTTAGTTTTAGATAGTATCAATGACCAATTGCTTCAACACCCTCAGAAGATAGTGTCATAATAAATCATTGCATTTGCTCATTGGTGGCAACAAAATGGCCAGGTATATATCAGCACTACTTATCCATAGCACATTGTCCATGTTTCTTTTGTGCTTTAAAGGGGTTCCACTCTCCCATACATCCTAATTGAGCTTTTTTCTCCCCCTCTAGAAATGCTGAAACTAATATGGCTTCCATGTTCATGTGCTAACATTATCAGTAGAGCTCAAGAATTTCTTGACAGTTGTCTCAAACATAAGGCTTCAGACTAACTATATCCAGGCAGCCTTTTGAATACTGGAAGCTCTTAGCTGCTCTTGCAAGGCCAACAGTAGGATTTCAAATTTTAAATGCTGTATTCAGTTATCACAGCTAACTTTGTTGAGTACCCTGAAATTCTATCCCTAAGCCACTTAGTTCTGTGAAGAGAAATAATGAAATTTCAGTACCAATATAATTTGGTCTTTCATTTGCTTCAAAACTGCCTGTGGGTGATTTCATTTTCTGATCCTTAGTTGTGAGTGCCTCACTTCCCCTCACCTTCAGCAAAAACATCATGTGTAACCAACAGCACATGCCCTGGTAGTTGGACTAATGATACATCTTTTCATACTAGCAATATTGTAGCAGATACTGTTCTTAACACATGTATTATTTTATGTAAAAACTCTCTGAAAAAAATCATTTAATCAGGTATCATAAGAATTCATCACATTAGCCAGAAGTAGCCATTACTCATTTACTGAGTTAAAGACATCCAAGTAGACAACATTTCTAATCTGTTGGCTATTGGAGCTACTAAGGGTAATTTAAAGGGGGGAAAAAAATCATAAAAATATAGCTGCAAGTTCCGAAATCTTCACTAAACTCTGAAAATCAGTATTATTCAAAGGTAGGCAAAGGGAGAATGTTGTCACAGTGAGGAGTAAAAATATATGAGCAAGTTGTTTGTTTTTTCAAGTTTCCCATATTGGGATTAAAGGTTTCATAAACACATAATATATTTCAGAAAGAGTAATCTCCAAAGAACTAATGTGTTATGTAAGTAAAATTATTTCACAAAACCAGAAACAACTAGTAATTTATGAGGAAACACTGAATGTTACAATGATTCAGGCTGTTGGGTAATCTCAATCTGATTCTGTTGTTAGTCACATAGAAAATTATTGATGTTGCTTACAAACCAAAAAATAGAAGGTTGTGTTGAATTGTAGCTACACTAGAAACTTTCCTTTAGAGACTTTTCCTTAATTTTGGACCAATTTGAGAAGTTACAAATTATTTTATTCTTGTTTTACAGCTGGGGAACACAAAGTTGGAGATGCTCCAAAACATCCTGCGGGAGGTGATCAGCCTTTACCACCAGGACACGTCCAGGAACCAGCTGCTAGAACTGATCAAGTTCACCCTTAACCACTTGTGCCTCAACTTTATAGCATCTTTATTATTCGGGGGCGGGGCAGGAAATCAGAGTGAAACATGAACTCCCCACTTTATTCCCCAGATTGTAAAATCATTGGGAATGTTAGAGATAAAGCATCAATCAGATTTGAATCATAAATTAAACTAATTTTCTCTCCAATGCATCAGTGAGAAACACAACAAGAGGATCATTTAGAGACTATAATGGAGGAGGGAATTGAGGAAACTATTAATAGTAGAAATTTTTATGGCCAGGGGACTGAGCTGTTGAACTCTTCTCTTGCAAAAAGGGGGGAGATGTCTGCCATTCTGTGTTTAGGCATGAATCAGAATCATCTCAGAGAGGGAAGCAGGGAACTGGCCTGAATGTCGTTAGGTCTAGTTTTATGTAGAAGCTCTTGCCAGAAATGCTGAGAAGCAAAGTATGAGGAAATGAAGAGCATAAAGGCCTACCATTTCCAGCACTACCAAACCCTTTCTTCTTTGAGACCAAATAAAAGTCAAACTTATAAACCTTAATCACAAAAAATTTGCACTTTCTAAAAGTCTAAACACAGCAAAGAATTAAGTGGAACAGTGAATATTTTTCATGTTTACAGAAGCCTAAGAATTTCACTGCAAGCCTTCAAAAGGAATATTGTACTTCTGGTGTATTGATCTGAACCGTCCTCCTTGTTGAGATTAATTCTGTGTAGCAGTTGAATACTCAACTGGCTTTTGGGACAGTACTTCTTGTCCCCGTTTCTTTCATCAGGTGCCAGCTGATCTCAAAATTGTGCATGTTATTAAGCTTTTTATGTTGATGGAAATATTGTGCAAAACAGAACAAGACTCACTGTCTTTTTCTGTACAGATTATCCTACCTCCTATGATAATACCAGATTTTTCAAAATGCACCATGTGCTTCAGAAAGCTCTTCTCAGACATAAATCTTTGACTTGTTAAGAGTCTTACTATTAACTCTTATTAGTCTTTCAGCAGTTGATGTAAGTTCATGAAGTGTCCTAAAACAGGGGTGCTACTTGATTGTATTATTTTGGTATTGAACCAGGATAGGTCCCTAAATTGCAAGCCAATATTTTACAAGAATAAATTGATTTTCCTGTGGGTTTTACTGTAATGTTGAAAAGTTGTGTGATTGTCCTTGCTTGTCATTAATTTCAGACTGAAAGTATTCTAAAGTGTAAATCCTGTTTGGGTTTTTTTTTTTGTTTGCTTGGGTTTTTGTAGTTGTTTTTTCTTTTTTAAAAAAAAAACAAACATGGATTGTTCTGACTGTATAATGCTGGCTTTGAACTGATACACACACCTTTGCATTTCCTTCCTGTTCTGTGGCTAACTGTCATTAAAGGAGATCATTTGGATTTTGAGCAAAGAAACAGTCTGTTACAGAAAGATGTTCCTTTCAGAGTAAGACTTGAATATTTTAGGAAAACTCATAAAGGACAGGAGGCAATTATTAATATTTTGTATTGACATTTGGGAAATTTCTCACTCTGAAGAACTTTGATAGAAGCTAGGTATATTCCTTCCATGTTTAAGGCTTCTTTCGTCAGGCCTGAGAATATGCTTATTCTCCACACAATATAATAGAACTCACTGCTGGAACAGATTAGGTTTCCTTATCTGTTTCATCTTGTTAGTTGTCACGTCACATTTCCTTCATTTATACCACGCAAACAATTGGACTTCTTTTACCATTTTTTTTGTTGGTGGTGAAAATTTTAATTTAGATTCCAGAATCAAGTGTTTTCCACTGTGTGTCATTTCCCTGCAGCTCTAACATCAGATTGATTATGTCTTTGTCAGACTAAAATACATTTCAACAACTCCATCTGTTCGCTAAGAGGACCAGACATAGTTACAGCTACATCCAGACTCACAGAGTTTCTTGGTGCACAGCCCTGGCTTTAGGGTTGTAGCCTGATAATGGGTAACAGAGCAAGGAAAGAAACAAAGGGAATTATTCAGATGCTGTGGAAAAGGTGATGGAAATTTTTTTTGTTCTCCCCATCCCACATGAAAGTTCACAGAGGACAGATAATACAGCCACAGATGTCTGTAGAGAGTCAAGGATTGAAACATTTGGTGTGGAGGCATTTCTACCATACAAATCACTCCTTCAGGTTACATCTGACAATGTGCTCCTAACAGATGCACTCTTAACAAATGTCATTATGTGTAATGACATGCTTTGTGATGTGATGCTCAAGCTTCAGTTTCCAGTTTCAGTGCAATCTCTCACATTTTGCTTGTAAGATTCTGACTCTCCCTGCTGTTGGAGATGGGCATTATATCCACCTTATCACACTGACTTTGAAACCTCCAGAGTTTTGTAAAGAACTGTTGTAACTTGGGTGCTAAACTCAGCTTTTATTCACCAGTGTGCTGAGTGTCAGTGGTGACTGAGGAAGCTACTTGTGAGAAGCCAGAGTTTTCACTTGCCATTTCATCATGAGTTAGCATTAGCAAAGCTCCTCATTTTGCATTTCAACTAGCCACTGTGGTGTGTTCAGTGTAAAATGGTGCTCATCTTCCCTTCAGTTGCTGATACCTGAATGTTCTTGTCACTGTTAATTTAATTAGTAGGCTTGCAGTTTAGCAATATACTACAGATTTTCTGTTCATTTTTTTTTAGAAGTGAAAACAGGCAATTTTTTAAACCTTAGAATAGGTGATAAGGTTTATCTCAAACAATAATCAAGGTTTAGACAAACTGACAATTATTTGCCCTGAGTTATGTGGAAGTCAAAACCTCAGTCCTCAATACTGCTTAAGTTATCAGACTTCATCTGAAGTTTATTGCCTAAATGTTTTTGAGATGGGAGCCCAAATTAGAACTCCATACTCATCCACCCGATTAAAAAGTCTTACATGCATGAGTATTTGTATCACATGTCCACAAAGATAGCAAGGACTGAGTGGATGTTCTTTCAAATGATGGTCTGTCAGGTGTGGTCTGTCAACAGTGTTCATTCACCCAGGACTGTCCACCTCATCCTCTGGAGAGGAAGGGCATTATTCTTGAGGCCCAGGCTAAAAGAGGTCTTCATCTGAGTGTAATAAAGTCACCAAAGTATCTTTGTGGATCAGTTCTGAAGTGTGGTTTAAGTAAGAGCTCTCACTGTGAGGAACATCTGCCTTAGAGGTTATGCGATGTGCTGAAGTTACGCTTACACATGAAATGTTTTGCAGATTTGTTGCTTTTTAATGTGTTTGTTGTTTTTGATGCTGATGTCTTCTTTTAATTGGCTTCTCTCTTCCATAAAAGAGACTAAGAGTATTAGCCACTAAAAGCATGTTTCTGCCATGGTACTGATTTCTCAGGAGCTTTTTAAAGTTAGAAAAAAAAAATTAAGCTTACAGCTAAGTGAGGAAGTAGAAGGCTATAGTCACAAATATATAAGGGACTGGATTATCATGGGCACCAGTGCTTTCTCCTGTACTCTGCTTTTCATTTAGGAGGTGATTACAAGAAAATTGAATGAAACTTCATAGACACCAGTTCCAAGACAAAGATGCAGAGATTTGGTTTTGTACTTGGCTGGGATTTCAGTAGGAGGATGAAGGGGTAAAGTTTGGTCAATGTGGTACAAGTTCATATCCTCCAGTGCAATATATGTAGGAAAAAAGAAAAAAATCCCCACTCTGTACTTTATATAGATTAGTTTTTAACTGGATTAAACTGAAACTCAGCACAATGACAGATGTCTGGTGTTTTATTTTAAGCGGGTGGGAAGGAGGCAGGTTTAGATCTTGTCTATATGTGTAACTTTGTATTTCTGCTTAGAGGACCTTCCTGTTTGCCCTCCACTCTGCTTTCTGGAAAGATGTGAAAAGGAATTTGTAAAAATATAAAAGTGTCTTGTGTTCTTCCCTGGCACCAGCTGCCTTACTGCAATAGATATTCACTAATTAGGTACTTGAATGCTCAATTTTCTGTATTCACAAAAATAGAAAACTAACTGCTTAAAATGCTACTGTAACAGCATTACAAACTCTTGATGACACCACTTTCTTCCCTAACTTGTTCAGATTCAAACCAGAAATCCCAGAGGAGGTGGAGTACCCACAAGTTTAGTAACAGATTTTTCTATAGTTTGCTTTCTCTGCTTACAGATTTTTGCCTTCAAAGCTAGGTGTCAGCCATTTCAGGATGTAAGGATGGCTGCAGCAATGCACCTCTTGAGGACACCCCCAGGACATGATGCCATATCTGGCCACATTACACTGCTCCATTTTGTAAACGTACCTTGAGCAAGAAAAATTTGATGTATGGTGACATATTGCAAAGAAGCCAAGATCTAACCTACTGATTGTCCTTTTGGAATTTATGCAAAAGTAGGTAGTGGGCGCCAGGGGCTGTCCCTAAAGTTGGTCCAGGACTTTCTTGTTTACATCCTCAAATAACTGTTATGTACTGAAAGGAAGAGGTAGTTCTACCAAGGCAGTGAGAGTCCCATCTGAAAACATAGCAACACTTGCTGTAGTGTTGTTACATTTCTAAATTTATTTTTTTTTTTTTTACATAATAGGAAATGGGGAACTAGATTGAGTCCTATTATTTATGCATCCACAGACAGCAAATATCAAAACCATTTACAGTTACCCTAAGTTTTTCTAATGCCTTAAAAGCTATACTTGGCAGAATCACTTTGTATCCAGTAGTAACACTTCTTATAATTACACTATCCGATACTATGCTAAATAACAGCGTGCATACTTGCTTGTGTAGTAAAGTACATTATCAGTGAGAGAAAGTATTTTTTTTCACAGAGAGCCAGGCTTCTAAACCTGGTATATTTTTCAGTGCAAATGCAGAGAGAGCAGCACTACAAAGCTGACCTTCCCATTCTTAGCACCTTTTCCATCAATTCTAGCAGCTGTTAGTCTGAATGACTGCACAGTTACTGCTGCTTAGTCTCTCGCAAACAATTTGTATTTACTCAGCGATGTATTTCCTTAACACAATAGCTCACAGTTGGTATCTTCTAAGAAACTGCCCATAGAGCCATTTGTGTTACAGAAGGTGATGGTGGATACGATACCCAGAGTTTCCTCTCTAATATTTCACACCCTCTCCCACTAGCTTATCATTGCTGTTAATACTACACTGAGAAGAGAACTTGAATTTTTGTGCTCCCTATCACCAGTGACAGTGGAGAAAGTAGGATGGAGGTGCAGGCAGCCACCACTGCTCATCATACCAAGCTCCCCAGCTGCACGAATTCAGAGCCCACCTAGGAAGAGAGGATGAGTTACTCAGTCATGGAGTATAGTCCTGTGCAAACTTGTACGTATGGAAATTTCCACAGTCACACAAAGACCCTGGATACTTCAGCAGCAATGAGTGAAGTTCTGAGCTCATGCCTGTTCTACAGGCTGTGCAGACCTTCCCAGTGCATTGAGTACCATGGAGAAGTGATGCAACATCTATTATAACACACAAGCCTGTAATTAGCCCCGGTTTGGCTGATTGCTAGCACTTCTCTCAGTGGAGTCTCACCCAGTTTCTTGTTTGCATCCTCCTATCTTCTGGTGTACAGACAGGCAGGACACCAGCCTTTTCTTGTCAGTTGTAACACATGAAATACTGTGCCAGATCAGAGTAGTTATCCAGTGACCTGGTTCCAGAAATGACAGTTTTCAGACATTTCAGACAAGAGTGTAAGGATTTGCATCAACATGTGATGGACATATGCAAACCAACCTGTTTAAAGATCAAATTTCTCCCTGTACCCAGCAAGGGAATAGATGACTGATGTCTGGCACACTCAAGTCACTGTCCAAGATATTTTAAATCAGTGTAAGGTTAGTTATCAGCCTTGAGGCATTTTAACCCCAACAGAGACACAGAACCTGAAATATTTCAGTGCCTCACTCCGTGATGAATATTCTTTAAGGATAGGGTTGGAGCAAGATAAGAGCCTCCTCTGGTATCAGTACACTTACATAAATACGTCTAAGAGGGCATGAGCAAGAGCAATCCCCCATCCCACAGGATCCACGTTTCCATGAAAGCATATGCAGGGATAAACTCAGAGTGGCGTGTGCTCAGTTTCCCTCAGCTCCCTTTGGTGTTTCACGTAAGCACGTACAGCTGCATACTGTTTCTTCGCTAGAGGGAGTCTAAGACAAGGATTACTGAGCTTTTTTAAAAACTAATTAAGAAGCAGAGTGGTGGCATAATAAATAGGATGTTGAAAACTGAATGTTCCCTCAAAAGCCAAACAACAGTT